CACTATCTAGGCCTATTACTCAGCTAATTTTGAAATGAATTCAGAAGAGGTACTATCACTGATGACAAGCTGATTGGCTCTCGTGCAAGTGAGAGATTGTTGGAAATGTGCCTAAAGCCAATCTTATGATGATATTTTACAAACTTTTCACATGTTAAACTACTCTAGTTTAATATAAGGGCAAAGATTATTGTTTAAAGTCGTCTCATATACATATTATATGCTTGAATAATAAGTCTAAGGAATATGTAATTAAGAGAATGTGATCTAAAGAAGTTAGATTCATGAGACCATTCTCTTTCGTATACATATCCTAAACGTTCCTGACCATATGATTGTCAATTGGGTATTAACGGTCCATTAAGATCAGCACATGCTATGTCTTCTCTCAAGAAGAGTGATTGGTCTTGAGTCAATGGTGTGACTGACACCAAGACAAGTATGTAGGTGCTCAATAGAGAATGAGTCCACTGAACACGATCAACAAGGAGTTCTCATACTCATGTCACATGAGAACTCAAGGTCGGGATAATGCAAAGTAGTCCTTTGACATGAGACATCATAGTTAGGTCCTTGATCTTTGACTATGTCAAAGGCACTCTATCAGAGGGTGTCCACAACATAGTTGGGGTTAAGCCACTTAATTATACAAGCAAGTGAATGCATAAACAAGGGGTATCTAACCTTTAAACCGTTGAAGGAAAATACTCTATGATATGATTAAGAATATATGGCCAAATTATGAATGAGATTTAAGAAGTCGTTCCAAATCACATTCAAGGTAATCATATAAGTAAGAGGATCACATTGGATAGTAGGCATGAATAAACTATCAAACCAAACAATGTGGTCGAGAGTATTGTATTAGAGAAAGACCATATTGCATTTGCAGTCCCAAACTGAATAGGTTCTCCAACCTCTTCTGATTAGCTTGGATAACCATAACATACTGATAGGTGTCACTCATGACTTGTGAAAATCTTGAAGATGTATAATTACGAAAGGGAGAATTGAAAGTAAATTTCAATTCACAATCGATTAGTAATAGTTCTTCTATTCGCACATTGCCTCGCTAAAAGGAACCTAATGGATCGCACACCATGTAAGGTAATGATTGAATGATATAACAAGGATGAATAAGGACAATTAAATGGTTTAATTGTATATGGCAAGGATTAATTAAAAAGTTAATTAATGAAGAACGAAAGGTTCGTTTTAGGCCTTAAGTTAGTTTCGGGTTACAGGACTCAAAAGGGTTTTGGTTCACAAGGCACATAAGGTTTAAGTTGCGTGACAATTAAAACAAAATGGGCAATTAACTCACTAACAATAGGGAGGCGGGCTTTGCTTAGAGATGGAGTGGTTTTGAACTTATTACAAGTTTGCCACTCCATTGAAGGGAGGTATAAAAGTATCTTTATATCTTTTTCTTCATTTAGGGTTTCTGAGAGAACACAAGCTCTCTCTTTCTCTCTAGAGAGGCCGACCACCATGGGAGACATTGCTAGCATTTTGTCTTCCATGGTCACTCATCTTCTTCCTTCACCATCCTTGGTGTCGGAACTTAATTAGAGGTCTCTAACTTTGGAGACTTTTGGAGAATCCATTCACCCATCATTCTCCAAGAAATCATGGAGGAATGAAGCAAGAAATGAAGGCCCTCTCTCTTGGATGATTAGCCTTTCCTCATGCAAAGAGGATTCATCAAAGGTATACTATTTCTCAACTCACTTTGTTCTTGAGTTGAATCTTGGTTCACCATAATTACTAGGCTTTGAGTTTCATGGTTTAAGTTTTGTTTTAAAGTGCATAGAAACATGCTTTTGACATTTAATCGTTAAATGCATGCATTATGTTGCTTAATGAACTTAGTTTTTCACAATTTTTCCTTCAGAAGAATTCTTGGTGTTCTCTAATTTTTTTAATACATTCTTTGTAGGTCATAATGAATTTTTGGTATTTTAAATTTGTTTTCTTAAGTTTTAGAATGAAAACTATTTACTACTGTATCGAATACAACTTACTAAATTTTTATTTGATTGTACTTTGGAGAGAGTTGTCAATTGACATACAAAAGCAAGAAGAAAAGTAAGAGCCTCACTAACCTTCATGGCCACTTCAAAGTTTAAAGTACTATGTGATCAACTAATCATTCTAATTTTCTTTTCTAATATGTTGTTCTATTATTGCAACACTTAAAAACCTCTCACACATTCCAAACTCAAGCGAAATAAGAAATAAGTAAAACAATCTGCTATATAAGTGAATCAAGGGTTTGTAAGTCACATGATTAAAGAAAGGTCTTTTGCACTTGCAGAAGTAGGTGAATAAAGACTAGTTATTTTTAATTTGCTAAATAAAAAAATGTGGACATGGTCTAATGCACCAAAACACCTTGATCAAAATTCTTAAGGCATGGATATTTGATAAAAAAAAAATAGTTATATCTTATTTGTAAGATACTTATAAGATATATAACATATAATTTGGGCCTCATCGTTTACTCGGTTATCCTCAGGGTCGGCCCTATAGACTCCAAAACTGAATCAAATTGTTGAATTGGACTAGTTGGTTTGGTCCGTTGCAGTTTTTGTTATTTTTTTCTTCTTACAATTAAAGATAAAGTTAGTAAGTTAAATTGTTTGTTGTTAGGGGGAGGGGCATCAATGGGGTCGAATCGCACTAGGGTGTATAGGCATGATTACTTTATGTCACTGCGATAAAGCGTCATTTGTAGTTTTTGTTATTACCCATTAAGTGATGATGTGGCAAATATGAGATCTATATTTGTGCTGACGTGGCTACCACATTTGTGCCACGTGGCAAAAAAAATTTTATACAATTAAATATAATAATATTTACTCTATTAAAAAAAAAAAAAAAAAACCCAAACAAACCCAGAAACCCTCTGACCCACTTCTCCATCTCCTCGCTATTCACCTCCAATCCCTTATCTCTTCCCAGACCCACTCCTCCCTCTTCACCTACCGACCCTAACGAACTCGACCAACCATCACCTTAGCCCAACCGGAAAAAAAATTCACTCTTTTCTTCCCACCGTAAATCCACCACCATGAACTCGAGCCGAGCTCTCCGACCTCATGCACTTGAAGCTCGCCCAAGCAAATGGCTACCATTGTTGTCGCCGTTTGAAAACTCTGAACCGGCGAACCCAAGACTGCATCTTTTGAAACCCCTTCCTCTCGATCTGGTCACGGCCTCCAACCCACTACTCCTAATTGACTGGAGCTCGCAGGCCCCGCTCGAAATCGACTGCGTTCCCGATCTGGTCACCGCCTCCAACAAGTCAGCAGTGTCGATTACATATCGCAACGATGCCATTCCGAGGCGTTGTCTTCCTTGATTACTTCGCCTCTTTCAGTCGCGCTTGAAGCACTATCTCACTATTTTTCGGTGAGATCGATAAGATTTAGAGATTCTGGCTTGGGTTTAATTGGGGTTTCTGAATTTTGTGTAAAGATGTGAAATTAGTGTTGCTTTTGCTTTGTTTGATGGATTTGGATAAATAAAGCAGATTGCCTTCATATTCTGAAAAATTGCTTTGTTTGGGATTTTTGTTTTTATTGCTTCAGTATGTTTGAGCTAAGGAGGAAGAGGAGTATGACGACGTCATTAGGTAGTAGTGGTGGTGGTTGCTGATGGGAGTTTGAGGAGGAAGATGGCGGCGGCGGGACGTGGGTGAACTGGAGAAGAAGGGTGAGGGTGATGGTTTGTAAGGGATGGGAGGTGAAGAGGGAGGAGATGGAGAAGTGGGTCGGGGGGTTTCTGGGTTTGTTTGTTTTTTTTTATTTTTTTATTTTATTTTTAATAGGGTAAATATTATTATATTTTAAATGTATAATTTTTTTTTTTGCCACGTGGTACAAATGTGGCAGCCACGTCAGCACAAATGTGGATCTTATATTTGTCATGTCATCACTTAACGGTTTACTTAACAGATTTTCTAACAGAGATATGAAATTGAAATAAAATGATAAGTAAATGTATGAAATTGAATATTTTAAAGATATTGTAAGGTATTGAAATCAACCCCAAACCTAAGGGGGTAAAATGTAATTTATCCTTATTTATATGATATCCATAACAATATCTATAATAATGTTCATATGTGTATCTATATATTGTTAACATTGTACACCCAGAGATTATGATGATTACCTTGCACCCATAATGAATGGGTGATTGTAAGTAACACAATTCATAACTAAAGTTACAAACCTCTACGAAAAAACTCATCGTCTGCACTTACAGTCTAAATACACACTACACTCTCACTTTATCATTGCCGATATGCGTTAGCCATGTCCTGCTTCAGTGCTAACTTCTTCCTTCCTTTCTTGCCTTATTTTTTAAGGGGATGAAAAATTATATAAAATTATCCATTTAAGATGTGGGCTGGTTGGAAATTTTTACTAGAATATTGTTGTATGGTATAACCAGTTTATAACTTTATATGTCAAAAAAGAGTATTTCTGCTGTTAGGTTATGGCACTGATTCTAATATATATTCGTTCATATTCATGATCTGATTCTAAAATAATATCCGTTTGAATTTTGCCCTTGATTATTAAGTATGACAATTGTTTGCGTTATTTATTTTTTCGTAGGAGCCTTTTATCAATGATTTATTAGTCCTAACATCGTATTTCAGGATAAGTTTTTTGAAAAATTAGTCAAACCCAATCAAACTTTAATTAATAAGTTTTCGAACCAAATGAAAAAAATTAATAAGTTTCATGCTCAAAATAGACAGGATATAAGGAAAATTAGTCAAACTTACATATCATTATTGACGAAAACTTTTAATTGTTCATACCCAAAGAGGATGCATGTTTCAACAAACCCTGTGTAATCAATGTTAATCATCAATTAGGTCCAAGATTCATAGGATTTGAACAATAGTTAAAACATAATCTTTGAATCGTAACTAAAACCAACAGGAATTTTATTTCATTTTCTTTTAAAAATACCAACGAAAATTTAGTCCCCTTGTACTGTACAATGTCACAATATTTGGCTTTAGACAAACTTTGAAATTCAACCGCACGCAGAATAGTTTATAAAATCTCTCTTCCAAAATATTAAGGGTTTTACTTACTAAATAACTCTTCCAAGGACAGCAGACGTGTATCTATAAAATAAGCTAAAAATTATCTTGAAACAAAAATAAATAAATAAAGTAGTTTCCAAAAAAAAATAAAGATAAAAAAGACTAGGCATCGGATAAAATCATGTAAAAAGATTAAGGAAACATAACCATAATCGAATTTGAATAGTTTTTTAATTTCAAAATTTGAATAGCATTCTAACTCTATCTCAATTCCTCTTTTTAATTCTATCTCAATAAATTTGAGTACACGTTCAAACTCAATTTTACTATTTCAACATTTTCTTTTACTCGAGTTTCTCTCTTTTCAAATATTAGACTTTTTTCTCCATGAAAGAGATTGAGAAAGCTATGACGAAGAACATGGACAAAGATATCAAGAACAACAACAATGAAAAAGAAAACAACAAGAAGAGAAAGAACAACAACAAGGATGTTGGCCCCGATTTCGAAGCAGAAGAAAACGATATGCTCGCTCTCTCGCTCAACTCTAATCGTCCTCAATCAAAACCTCGTCTAATGCCACCAGTAGATACACAGCTAACAGCATCGTTGCCACTGCCGGTGCCACCACGATCATCCTCGTCACTGTCAGTGCAGCCAACACCCTTGTTCATACAAACCCTAATGCCTCAAAAACATTCATCTCATCCTCTCCAACTCTCATCCTCACACCCACTTTACATGACTACACTACAATCTTCCTCCTCCCCGTCCATGCCCTTGCCCAATCCCGGAGTTCCCACATCTCGTCATTTGCGTGCACGGCGGAACCCTACCCAAGGTCCGAGGGAGGGAAAGAGCGAGACTGTCCCGGCTCCCTTTCCGTGGGCTACCACAAGGCGGGCCATGGTGCACAGTCTGGAATACTTGTATTCAAGGCAAATCGTTACCATCACAGGTGAAGTGCAGTGCAAGCGTTGTGAACGACAATATAAGATGGAGTATAATCTGAAGGAAAAGTTTCTTGAGGTTGGGAGTTTTATTGCTGGTAACAAGAGCACGATGCGCGATAGGGCACCGAGTGTGTGGATGAACCCAGTTCTTCCTCCATGCAAGTTTTGCGAACAAGAGAACAGCGCGAAACCGATCATAGGGGAGAAGAAGAAGGTGATTAACTGGCTGTTTTTGCTGTTGGGGCAGATGCTTGGTTGCTGCACGCTTGAGCAGTTGAAATATTTCTGTAAGCACACCAAAAATCATCGAACCGGTGCCAAGGATCGAGTTCTTTATCTTACCTATCTGGGTTTGTGTAAACAACTCGATCCCAAAGGACCTTTTGATCGATAAATGATGAGAGAGGTAAGAGTCTACTGGGCGTGAGTGCTCTATCTATGAATCTATCAGTTGCTTCCTTTGTTAGCCTGATTTAGTTGCAGAGGTTTGTATTAATTAGTTTGTGGTTACATATTTCTTTCTTTTATTTTGTGTGTTTTTAATTTCATTCAAGTTTGCTTTCTTGTTTTTTAATTTTCTGGACTGAATAAAAATTTCACTTCTCAGTATAGCTGTTGGATTGCCGGTTAGTTTTTTAATTTCCATTTTCGCTAACTTCCAATACTTTGATGTACATAAGAAAATTTAGCGTCCAATTTTATTTCTCGAATTCCTGCATCTGGCTTTAGAACCTTGTGATGATTTAATTCAGTAATTTATTTTGGTACGAAAAAATTGTATTCTTTGTTGCAATAAACTTAGCTATGGTTGGTGACTTAATTATGAGTAAATCAGATTAGGGTATGAAGATGGAGAGAAATGGAACACAGGGAGCAGAAACAAAGATTCAGGGGTGTATTGGAAAAGAATTCAATTTGATTGTAAAACCGTATTTAATTATGTTTTTTAAATGAATTTTTCAAATGCAACTGGTATTCAATTCAGATTTTTATCCAATTATGATTTTAAATGAGTTTTTCAAATGTTATTCAATTCAGATTTTTAAGGATTCAATCCAAGTTTGGTGATATATGAATGGCTTTGAAAGTGTTTTTAGTGTTAGAGTGTATTCAAAACAGTGAATTTGTAAGATTCAATGAATTAGACGATTTTGATGTATTCTAGTCATATGCATCTATCCACTTATATGCGAATATTTAAAATACATAAATTTTGTGGGAGTTTATAATTACAGCCTTAGATTCCTAATTGAATACAACCCCCTAAATGAGGATATACTTCAACACACGCACACGCGCACACATATATATATATATATAAACCACCGGAACTATAGATTCCAGTGACTCGTGTACTCGACCTAACTTATGGGACTAAGATCCGCTTATGGGAGGAAGGGATAGCTGGTGTGCATACACTCTAAAAGATTAGAGAAGGAAACGAACTTGAAACTTTGCTACGTGTAAAGAAGGTGGTTTCGTTATTTCCTTTTAACTCGATCGGGCTTTTATGTTAATCTATTGCAACGTTGAGAAACTTGAGGTTTTAGGCTATACAGATTCAGATTTTGCTCGCTACGTTGACGATAAAAAATTGACTTGTGGGCACCATTTTTTAAAGGTTGGAGGTGCAATATATATCATGGAGTAATGCCAAGGGGTACAATTGCCACCTCTATCACAAAAGCAGAATTTATACGATGTAATGAGCTCACAAACCAAGATCTGTGATGAAAACAATCATAAGCAACATCATATATATAGTAGTGAACTCAATAGTAAGACCTTCAAAAAGTTCCTGTGATGACAAGGCTGCAATGTTATTCAGCACGTAAGAATAACAAGAAGATTGCAGCCTCCAGATTAATGGATGTTAAGCATCTTTTTGTACCATCTGTAAGAGTTAGGTTCGGTTACTTTTAATTTCTTCCAAACTTTCGTTCAATTTTAGTTTTTATTTGTTTATTGAGTGTTGTGGTTTAGAAATTCATTCTGTTATAAATAAGCTAATCTCATTTGATTAGATTGGCCATTTTAAAGTGGTTGTGTTCTCTTATCTTCTGAAGCAATTTCTCTCAGTTTGTTTGAGTGAGTTTCATAGCTTACTTAGGCAAATGACACATGAGATGCATGTGATGGTGGGAGTTAAAAAATGAGTCATTTGTAAAAACTGTAATGTAAGAGTGTGAAAGAGCGGAAAAATGAGTCATATTTACTAAAGAGAAATTTTATTTGAACCAAATATTTATTTCGCTACACCTAACTTGAAAATTAGATGTGCCTTGTCCAACCCAAAAACAATTGGGATAAAACACATTTTGTAAAAATACCTATATGCAAATCTTACTTGAAACCTAAACAAACCCAGATCGAGACCTTTCTGCAAGTCCTAATCGAGAACTTGCTTCCCGGATTGAAGAAGCCAACATGATCACTTGCTGACAATGGCATTTCAGTTTACTCTCTCTCACTACGAGAAAGTACGGCTTGCCCTACCAAATTTTGAGGGACGAAAGAAATTTCGTCGGTTAACAGCTTCTTCCCCGATAAAATCCCTCGTTTGTAGGGTTAGTATAGTCAACATTGTAGGTTAACTAAAAAGTCTTCTGAGACGGGACAATTTCGTAGGGTAAACCATATTTTGTTGGGAAAAATTTGGCGCTAAAGAAAAAATTTGGCGCGTACTTAATGAGATTTTTATGGGGCGGAAAACTTGTTCGACGCGTAAATTGTAGTTAACCGACGGACCTTTCCGTCGTGTAATATTTTTTGGTCGTCTAGAAAAGTCTACAGGTGATGTGTAAAAAAAGGGGAATATATAGTTAGGAGACGAAGTATTTGAATTCTCGCGACGACTGCTTCTGTCGGTAAGGTGTAGGTTACCTTTTAGCTCAGAGTCTGCTGCCTTCTTCCCCCATTTCCCCCTCATCTTTTTTCATTGATGTGCTTTCTGCAGCCCCGCGGCCGTCCCCCACTGCTTCTCTCTCTCGCTCTCTCTCTCCCTCCCTCCCTCCCTCCCTCCCTCCCTCCCTCCATCCCCCGTTGTATCTCACTCCATCTCTTCCTCTTCGAAATATTTGAAGGTTAGTTTATTTTGAGTTTGTCATTATTTTTTCCTTCAAATGTGTTATTTATGATTAGTTTTTAGTAGGAAGAATGAATTTATTTAGTTGTGATAACTGTATATGTTGAATTATATAGGATGTGAAATTTGTAGTTGTTTTTGAAATACATGTGGAGTAGGAAAACTTAATTTGTGCAGCATTAGTGTAGGAATTCGGGGTGTGGAACTTGTTATAACTTCATTCCATTTATACAAAGTTAATTATGTTGATTAAATTCGTATAATAAAATCGAAATATACCTTAGACTTGTTTGAGATTTTGTTGGACACGCGTGCAGGCGCAATATGCGGCTCCACGATCTAACTTAATCTTGAATTGTCCAGTTTGGACAGTTTGGGAGTGCACTAGTATGTATTTAGGGTTTGCGATGAACTTGGCTAAGTTTCGGTTGTGGAAAATTTGATTGTATCCTCCTATTGTTCTTCAAGTGCATAGTGGATATTTGTCCGTAATATCCACATAGTGCGCTTGGAGAACCCTGGGGAGATGCTACCGAACTTTTTACGATCAGAAATAGTCGGGTGATATGCAAACCGCAACACAGAAAGTGCACTTTTGAATGGGATAGGATCTTAACCGGAGGCATAATCAATCTTGTGAACAACTTTATAGCCACTTCCAACCTTAGAATCATCCAAATAGAAAATTTGTTCACCATCCTTGGGCAACAAAATATTGTTCGTCGCCTAAAATTTTGTTGCGCAAGTAGTTTTTTCTACAAGTGACAACCTACTCTTACCATCCTTTTTCCCCATCCAATTTGAAAACTCAACCATAATATATAAATATTTTTGCTCACCACACTCATCACCCTATTTATTAAGTTTAAATTTTGAAATTTGTATAGCTGCAGTAATGCTCACCACCCTCTTGCTCTCCATCCTATTTATTTGGATGAATTGTATGTACAGTACACATTCTCGTAGATGTGCTACGAAATGTGAGATCACAATTTGTTTTAATTTGAGGCTGAACAATTTGTATGTTTTTGGTACGTGTTCGGATTTCTTGGAGCCATTGATATATTTGGCGACAATGAAGGAGCGTCCTGCCACAAAACTTAACTATGACAAAAGCGCCATACAAGTGAAATATGCAGAAAAGTGGAAGGAGAGTGGCCAGATTGATGTTCTTATAGACGGCCAGTTTGCTGGAAGTCCGCATCTCTGCTTCCAAAACTGTAGTCCATCATTCAATGACGGAAAAGACCATGGAAATGTGAAATCCGATGGAAGCTGACTTCAGAAAGCATGCCAACCTATTTTACCAGAAATAGACAAGGAAAAGGGTACGAAAATATTATGTATCATCATATGCAACACCGTCATAAAATTTAAAGACACAAAAATCCTGCAACACCCAAAGTTTCGTTCTCAATCTGGTCCGACCATTGGGTTTGGCAACTTTAATCCGATGTCGAGGTTTAGTTATTTGAGTCGATATCCATGCCATTTACGGATTTACTCATTCGAAAATCAACAACAGCCTTGTCAAAAGTGCTCCTCACGTGTTGGCACATCACCATGAGATCCTGACATGAATCTGTGAATACGGTTTTTGCTGCATCACCTGTAAAATTTCATCAAACACCAAATGTTTTATGCATTAGAAACTCCAAGACTGATTCCAAAACACTAATTCCTTGAAGAAACACCAAGCGAGATCCTTCAATTTTTATGGAGTGATATGGGGAAGTAATTTTGTTTTGCATTATAACTACCTGGAAGAGACAACGGCTACAGTTTGATAAATTGGTTGGGCTCGAACCCATAACCTAAACTAGTTGGAAACCCTCTTTCTCAATCCCACATCACCACCACCGTTAGACCCAAGGCTAGATGGTGATGCTTACCCACCAAAGCACTTATATCACTCTTGCGATGGAAATAGGGCGATTCACATACACATTCAAGTAAGAACTCCATGAAAAATTAACAGAGAGTTGACGACGCTAAGATGACCAAATTAAACACCTGTTTCTATAGGAACTAAAGTTGCTCCAGTTAATTATTTGGTTCAGACTCCACAACTTGGCTCCAATACACAGATATGATTAGGCATTTGGCAAAGTATCAAAGGCACAACAAATTGAGTATTTTGGAGGCTGCTTAAGTGAAAACATTGTTGTCACATTGCTAATATAAGCAAAAAACAAATGCATACAGCCATCAGTATGACATCTCTATCTTAAAAGAAGGAAAAAAAAAAAACCAGAAATACATGCAAGGTTGCAATTATGGGAAAAAATGGTTGATGAAGAAAAAAATCATTGTAATAGTCCATGACAAGGTTTGGATGTGTTACCTGTTGTCTGGATTCTAATATTAACTCGGTTATCCGATGGATGAGGAATGCTGTACCCACAAAATTTTGTCCTTGGACTGCAACAGAACATTACAGCTTGGTGAGCATATCGTCGTTACACCATTTTTACCACCATTACTGCTTATTACTACATGATCCCTTTCAACTTAAACCTATCTTATGGCAAGATTTATATACTAACTCGGAAGATTTGTTCCAATAAACTTTCAAAGCATTTTCCACTGTGCTCATTCTACTTAAAAAGTCGACCAATAAAGCAAATTCGATTTCAGAGGGAAAAAAAAATTGATAAGGATTCAGTACATTTGATGTTTAGACAAGTAAAATTAGAGCTAAAACATCAAAGAAGCAGATTATTGATCCCAAAAGAAATAGTCAGATGTTTATTAAAACAATTAGAAAGCACTTACTCCTGGTTCAAAGTGAACCTGACGGCATTTGCAAATGTGTGATCCTCGTCAACCAAAGAAAATGTGGATTGGCTGGGATCAGTCAACGACCCGTGTTCCATTTCTTACAAAATCCTACTGCCAAACAGCAAAAAAAAAAAGAAAAAGAAAGCAGAAGCCAGAACAACAAATTCAGATTAAACCATTTACCATTAATAACATTCTGAATGACAGCCCGATTCAACACTCTCCGACATCGTATAATTTTGCTTCTACATTTTTACCTCTAAAGAAATATCAAACCCTCAAGGTGGAAGGTGCAAATTTCTTACTTTTGAAGCAATTAAATGCAAATGTCCGGAAAAAAAAAAATTAAAATTACCAACTTGTTACAATTAGGCAGAAAGTTTGGAAATTTATTAATTTATTTTAAAATTTCTGGGGTATAGAACTACTACGAACGCCACAAACGCAAAATTGAAATCAAAATCCCAAATGTATAACCCTAATAGTAGCAGAAAGCTAAATTGAAATTAAAACAACCCTAATTCAAAACTAAAATCCGAAAAAGAGTACAACTTACAGAGAGTTTAGGCGAAAAGCCGGGAACAAAGGATGCTGCTTGTGCGCTGTTCGTCTCTCGCTATGTCGACTGGAGAAAGAAGAAAGGGGCCGACGTGAGGGTTTAGGGTTTATAGAGCTTTTTTTGACGAATTTACCCTTTCTTTCCATCGGAAGATTACCAATTTACCCTTACTTCCGTGCTCTCACTTTTCTCTATGTATCTTGTTTTTCCAAGCTTGATAAATCATCACCGATTCTGTAAATTGGGATTTAGGGTTCGTAGCTTCCTCCTCAAAGCTTCACTCCCCTACTCCTTCAGGTATCGTTAATCTACCTATTCTTCTTTGATATTTTGTTTTTATTTATTTATTTATTTTTTCTTATCCGTAATTAGGGGTTTCGTTAAGATTCAATTTTAGGTTTGATTGGTGGCTTAATTGGGGTTTATTAAGCTTAATCGTGATAAGCATGAAAACAATTTCCCCCTTTCATTTGTTTTACATATTCCCTTGTATATTTGTTGCTCAGAAGCATGAATTTTGGAATCTTTTTTATTTGTTCAAATTTTGGGTTTCTTCCGGAAGTTTGAATTTAAATTCAAGGAAATTTTAACGAAAAACTCCGGTACTGTTTACTTTAACGAAAAACTACATTTTTATACAAAAAAGTCAATTATGTTATTATTCACTTTACCCTTTATTTTGCCCTTATTAAAACTTAGTCATTTTCATTAGTTTTTCTTAAATTTAACTGTTTGTGGGTTTCTTTTTTGTTTAGGTTTCAAGTTCTGACTATTACACCACTGGCTATAGCTCTGCTATGTTTAGTAACAAATGGGTTTCTCGTTGAGTTGGTGTGCTGAGACTATAAGATTGCTTGTGTTGGTTTTTGAAGATCTGGAAGTGCTATTATGAATTATTTGCAGCTTTATGATTTTGTCAACTAGATTGTTGTTGTGTTGCGAATCTTGTTACTGTATTTATCTATAGGACTAAAAAATGTTATCGTTAATTATGTATTAGGTTATCCGCCTCTAATCTAGGCTTCATGGTGAGGACAAGGCCAAACATATTGGTGACGGGCACGCCAGGAACAGGGAAGACAACAACATCAGCCGCCTTAGCAGAGGCAACGCAGCTCCGCCACATCAATGTGGGTGATTTGGTGAAAGCGAAGAATCTTCATGACGGCTGGGATGATGAGCTAGACTGTTACGTCATCAATGAAGACCTGGTATGCGATGAGCTTGAGGATACAATGGAAGAAGGAGGGAACATAGTGGACTACCATGGTTGCGATTTCTTCCCCGAGAGATGGTTTGATCTTGTGGTTGTGCTTCAGACTGACAACACTGTCTTGTATGACCGTTTGACTCGAAGGTAGGTTTTTGGTTCACTCTTTCTTTTCTGTTTGATTTCCTTCATGTTGACAACCGTGTGTTTACGAGTGTCCCGTTTTGTGGATTTTTGGATGTGACAGAGGGTATTCGAATTCGAAGCTCTCCAACAATATTGAATGTGAAATATTTCAAACTCTGCTCGAGGAGGCAAAAGAGAGCTACCCTCAAGATATCGTGATTCCTTTGAAGAGTGATAGCATTCAAGACATTTCGACAAATCTGTCTACTTTGACGGACTGGGTCAGGAGGTGGCAACCATCATCAACTTAGTTTCCCATATCGTAGTTTTTCCTTGAAACTGCTTGCTGCGTCAAGATTTTGATATGCATTTTCCTTGTACCATCTTCCTTGTCAGTTTTACCATTATGTGATGTGAGATTCTCCGCATTTCCCGCTGACCATTTTCACATTGTGTTGGACTGCCCTTGTTCTATCAAAACCATATCCTAACTTGGATTACCTTAGGGCCGCGATTGTGTGGCTGGAATCCATGATTACCTTAGGGCCGCAATTGTATGGCCGGAATCCATGATTACCTTGGGGCCGCGATTGTTCGGCCGGAACCCATGACTGGAGTGGGAGTTGGTTTGTCATTCTACAGCGCCGAAGTGTAATGTTTGTTTAAATATAACAGGAACTGGTGTCGGTTTCCCGTTCCGGTAAAGTGCGATTCGCCATTTGGAGTTTGCAGGCCTCAAAGCTGGAAAGTGAAAGTGAAAACTCAATGGGGGATTTTCCCAATGCATGGTTCAATTGAACTGCCGCGATGTGATCCGGAAGGACCAAAATTGCTCCACGAATACTGTGATCTGGCTGTACGTAGTTTGGATTAGGGTGATTTCCTATGTCATGTAGGTAGTTAACAAAAGCGAGATTTCCTATATGTTGAGGACCCTTTCGAAATTTTTGAAAAAATTAAAGACTAATTTGAAATCACACCAAAATATTAAGGAATTTTGGATACTTAATTCTTAGAAGGAAAAAAAAAAAAAAAAAAAAACCCACCTATATGGCCCAAAAAAATAAAATTCTTATAGTTTCTCATAAGAAAGTCGCATATTTTGCCAAATAGCTTGGGTTGTCCAATTATAAAAGCAGAGCCTTATTTTTAAGAGAATTTTAACGAAAAGCTTTCAGTACTGTTTATTTTAACGAAAAATCATATTTTTACACTAAAAAGTTAATCCTGGTACTATTTAGTTTATAATTTATTTTGTCATTTTCATTAAAACTCAAAGTTTCAAGCCCTTTTTATTAGTTTTCCTTATTTTTAATCACCATGAATTTGATTTTAATCTCATTTTATTTTTTAAAATTTAAAATTCGCCACTTTATTTCACGAAATTCAAAATTCGCTATACGATGTCGTATAAGTGAGAGGTTAAGTCTACCCTTTTCTTTTTAATGTAAATAATATCGTTTAATTGTTAAAAAAAAAGAGTCAAATATATTGACGTGGATTAGAAAATGGACATATGACCTTCATATGAAAAAGGCTTTTTAGCCAAAATGGTCCCTGAGATTTGCATAACTCCTCACTTTGGTCCCTGATATTTCAAATCAATAGAAGTAGTCCTTGAGATTGTCCACCATCCATCATTTTGGTCTTTCCGTTAAAAACTCGGTTAAGTGTCCCGGACCTCTTGACCGGAAGTTTGGGCAAATTTCAAAGCTTTATAACTCAATCGTTTCTTAACCAAATTCGAATCATAATATATCAAAATGAAGATAGGAAAGTATAGAATAAGATTATATCTATTTGGAAGCCTAATGATTGCCAGAGATGGTCGGAAAATAGCCTTAAAGTTGACCGGTCCGAGGGAAAACTGGAAAACTAGCTAGAAACTGGGCAAACTTTAAACGTTCATGACTTCTTCAATACTCAACGAAATCAAGTGATTCAAAAACGAAAATCATACTTAATACTCAACGAAATCAAGTGATTCAAAAATGAAAATCATACTTCTCGACGAGACGAAGAGAATAGTACATTTTTCAGTAGCTAAATCGTCGTGGTTTGGCCGGAAAACGGCTCAAAATTGGCTAACTCAAGACCAAGACAACCATTTTCGAGCCATTTTCCGGCCAAACCACGGCGAGTTAACCACTGAAAAAGGTACCATTCTCTTCATCTCATTGAGAAGTATGGTTTTTGTTTTTGAATCACTTCATTTCGTTGAGTATTGAAGAAATTATAAATGTTTAAAATTTGCCCAGTTTCTGGCGAGGTTTTCAGTTTTCCTTAGGACCAGCCAACTTTGAGGCTATTTTCCGACAATCTCCGGAAACCATTGGGCTTCTAAATAGTAAAATCTTATTCTACACTTTCCTATCTTCATTTTGATATATTATGGGTCAAATTTGATTAAGAAACGATTGAGTTACGAAGCTTTGAAAATTACCCAAACTTCCGGCCTAGAGCTCCTGGACACTTAATAGAGTTTTTAACAGAATGGCCAAAATGATGGATGGTGGACAATTTCAGGGACCACTTTTATTGATTTGAAATCTTAGAGACCAAAGTGAGGAGTTATGCAAATCTCAGAAACTATTTTAACTAAAAAGCCTATGAAAAATCAGAAATAAAGCAGATCTGAGCAAATTTTGAGTTTCGAAAATAATACGTGGCTTTTATTAAGTTTCAAGGGCAAGAGTAGGAGAAATTTTTCCAAGTGCCGGGAACACCATGACACATGGTGTTCCCTCATCCATTAGCATTTGACATCTTGGATATCCTTCAATTTTATATTTCAATAAATAAATAAAACTAAATGCTAATGGGTGAGGGAACCGGCACAAAATTTCTCAAGAGTAGGATTAAAAACGAGTTTTATGTTTGAAAGCTAAAAATAAGTTCGTCTCTCCCTATAGCCCATCGAATCCAAGCCCTCTTCATATCTTCTGAATTTCTTTGTTTCTTCTTCTCAGTTGTAAATATTTCCGCTTCTTCGAATTTCTGAATCTTCAATAACAATCGGCAGCTTACTCACCAGGTAATGTCATTTCCTTCAATTTCGTTGTTCAGGGTTTAGTATGTTTTGTTTTTTTGCCGAGATTGTATGATAGTTTACTTTTCCCAGCTTTTGTGTTGAATCATATCCACTTTATTATCGTTTAATCCGTTGAAAGCTCTATGATTTTCTCGTATCTAATTTTTGTGAGTATTTGTGCACATTAGTATAATGGCAGTAGCAGCACAACTCATTGATGATCAAAGTCTCTGATCCCGTTGTTTGAACAAGTTTTTGGTTTTTGCTTAATTTTTTTCGATCCATTTGAAATGGAAAAATTGGGATTTTTCAAACACAGAATTAAAAGTAAGAAAATGGGGTTTTTCGATTTTTGTGTATTTCTCTTCCAAATACAAATGATAAAGAGGTCTTCTTTCAGATATAAATAATTGCACTTTCGCTTAAACACCAATTAATAATGTCTTCAATTCTTAATCCCACCCCCTAGAGATATCAAAATAGCATTTCGAATTTACTGGTAATTATTAACATTTGAGTTTAAATTCTTCTTAGATCTCTATGGGACTTGCTTTGTATTTTTGTCGAAGAAGGGATTGAATTTGTATTTTTGTTTGGAGGAAATGGGGAAGCTCTGAGGTGAGGATGAATAAGGAAGTCAGGAGTATTGAGCTGTAGTGTATTTGCGCGGAAATTGTTGCGTTTATAAAATAGTTTTTTGACCCTTATATCCAGGGTTTGGATACGAAATACCTTGTTGCTGTATATTTTCACAAACTTATTGACATGTTGGTATGTCATATGTCAAAGTATAGGCACACGAGGATGATTCGTTGGTCTGTATGTAAAATAGTTGTGATTAGGTTAAACTTTGGCTTCTGATGTTCCTTTACTTTTTTAAAGGTGTTCTTTGTTACTCTATTGGTAGGACTCTGATTCGGTGATCTAATTACTCAATTCCTTGCTATTCTATTCATTGATCTGTATGCGCAATAGCCTGTATTCATTTTATGTAGTTAATGGTGTACTAACCATGCTTGGTACATAGCTCGGAACATAAAATCGGGGATCTTATAACAGATCTGGTGGCATAAAAGAAAGCTGCTATTACTTTAGCCTTTTCCTTGTTGAGTCCTGCTTGGGTAAGGTTGTCTGAATATTGTGTCATGTTATACGTTTTGACGATAAGACTGTAAATGTAAGACATGTAACATGAAACATTATTGACTGTCGTTGGTTTTGCTGAATAATGTGTCATTTCTCGAAGTATGTGTGGAAACCCCCATAAAAGGAAGCATCATTGACTATCCTCCTTTTATTAGGTTGCTTTTCTGTTTAATTTTATGAGATTTGTGAATGTTGATTGGTCTTTGTATGTTACCATCATATTGTAAAATGTTTTCCTTTTTGAATTTAGTTTCTGCATTTAATGGACTTTGTTATTTGAATGTATGCAATGTAAACCCAGGTTTGAAGTGACATAGGATTTGTGATTTAACACGAAATTCTTGTTCAAATTATATAGATAAAAAGAGATTAAATTAAAGATTTTTTTTTTTTTTTTCTCATTCATTGTATTGTTGTTTCAGCATGAGTATACAGTGATAAGTAAATTATTAGCTTCCCTCAGTAGTTCATAATTTCCTAACATTTGTACTATATTCATTAGGAAGTACGAGCCTCAAAATGGACAGCATTGTAGATTCCCTAAATAGTGCATACCAAGAGTTCGTTGTTGCAGCAGCTAATGTGCTCGAATCCAAGGAAACTTCTGGTGGCCAGAAAACAGCAGCCACGGATGCTGCTCTTGAGAATTTTAAGCAGAAGTGGGAACTTTTCAGAGTCACTTGTGATCAAGCGGAGGAGTTTGTGGAGTCTGTGAAGCAAAGGATTGGCTCAGAGTGCCTGGTGGATGAGGCAACTGGCTTGGTGGCTGGGAAGTCTGGGCACAGCACAACTGGTCTGCCACCCATTAGTGCGGTTCGGTTGGAACAGATGAGTAAAGCAGTTCGATGGCTTGTTATAGAACTTCAACATGGCTCTGGAACTGCTGCTGGTACGGCACATTCTCATCCGTCAACTCCTTTTGATGGTAGATTCTCTGAAGATTCAGCTCAATAGGTATGAAGGTGATTTGATTTCTTACCCTGTATTGAGAGAAGATAATAGGATTCATTGGATGCATTTTTCCGAGCACAATATTGACCATCCCTTCCAAATGATTTTGAATGTAGCTTTTAGGTTTTGCTACTTCCTAATTTCCTTGTGTAATTAGGTTGTACTGCATTGGCTCTTTTAATAAACTTAGTACTTAAGTAATGGTGGGGAAGACACAAGAATTGGTCATTGAAAGTTATGCGTATCAGATGTGCAGACATTAGCTCACCTAAATCATCATGATATTTGTTCTCGTTTTTGTATGTAAACATGTAGGCATGCAATCTCTCTGAAGTAGGTGCCTCACTATTTATTGTATTGGCGGCTGCTGTAGATCTATTTCTATATCTACACAACCTGAAAATTGTTGTTTCTAAATGAATCTGTTGTATATTTGTGTTTCAAATTCTTTCATCAAAGACAACTGTTGGGCGTACAATTTCGAATGGAAAGTCGAAAATTTATATATCTGGTATTTCTTAGTCAGTTCAAACCTCTTGTATGCTTAAATCTTTCTATCAATCCATTTTCTTTGTTATGCATACAATTGTAAATGATTGAGGATTTCAAAAACTGCTAAAACTCGGTTTATCTTAAAATGTCTGTTCTTTTGTGCTCTGACGTTTAGTTGAGTAATACTATATACTAGAAGGATTGGTACTGAGTGTTTTGTTTTGCGACATTAGAGCAAAGGAGAACTGATATACTAAAGCTAGCAAGAGACTGTTCTGTCTATGGGCATGGCCGTTAGCAATGCGAATATTGTAATACATTAAAGCAAGCTGAGAAAACAAGCTTCCGTGTCCAGCGTTTGGATGATGTGCAGTGTCATGAATTCGGCAGTGATATGAGGTTCCTTGTCCATGTTTTTCTGCCTTCTGCTATTCGGTTGATAAAGGCTTTCCTTAGAGTCATAGAGCTGCCATTTCTTGCCTAATGTATTGTTACACACCGACAGGGAGTATTTGTTGTGGGAGTTTTCTTTTTGTAACAGTCGGGCAAGAGCCGCGAACAGCAACTAATGCTTTGTTTATAGCACATTTTCCCTTTTATGTCATTTGTTTTCTTTGTAATTTTTGTGGGTTTAGCTACATGGAGTTTCAGATCAACCAGATGCTGAAGTTGATGCATTATGCTTTGTGATTTGTTTCATCAGTGGGGGCTTTTGGGGAGTCAAACTTGAATTTTATTTTTAACGTTAGGAGGAGAAGTATCATTAGATCGAAAGGCGGATTAATAGTTTTTAAAGTCGAATTGCACCAATCACCAAATTTGAAGTATGGTGGGTGATGAGTCGATATTATACTATATATTACCCTAATTTTAGTATTAATTTATTAGTTAGGTAGAATTTTGATACTTTGTTATATATTTTCAATGTAGGATATTGGACTTCCTCTCGAGCAAAAAGTGATCAAAATGATGAATTTTGGAGTGATTCTAATTGGAGGATGTTCGTGTGCTTTTCAAGATGATTGTATCAAAATTCCAAATTTTTCTACTAAGTCGTTTGACCGTGGCGATCAAGGGCAGAGCCAGGATTTTTTCTTGGGTGGGCTAGTTGAAAATAATACCATAAAATTATAAGTTTATTTTTTTTGCTTATATAAAATTATATATTAATCAATATAAAAGAACAACAATATAATATAAACTATTTTCAAAATTATAATCCTAACCGATAAATTCAAGGACCATATAAATAATTGACCTACTAATTAAATCAAGAATAATTAAATAAAGAGATTAAGAACGTACCAAAGGTGACATTCATAGGAAAATTGCAACGGAAAGTCAAGAATTGAGGAGATAGGGATTTAATTGAATTGTGTATTTAAAGAACTTTATTAGTCTTTTCTTGAGTAAGAAGCACAAAAACTAAATTACATAGGGTAAATGGTCTTTTTCTTTAAAGAATAGAATAAAAGGGGACTGAAGATAGAACTAATTTATAATTTTTATTAGAAAATGTATTATTTACTACCTCTCCTCTACTAAATATACATTAAATAATGATCTGTATTGAAATTGAGTAGGCTATAAGCATGAGTTTACAAAAGAATAGTTCTATTCACAAACCCATTTTACTTCCAACACAGCCTTATTAATATTTTGTTAGTGATCATGTTCAATTCATTCGATCTGAATAACCGGCAATTAAGAGATGTGTGTAAGAAGTAAAAATGAGTGTATGGATAGCATTACCCTTACAGAAAACATTCTTGGGCTACAGCCCACCTTAGCCTTGTGGGTGGCTACGCCATTGGTGGCGATGAAATAAAGGCCCAGTGCGCAGCTTTTCTAGATTGACGTTTTTGGACGTTTTGAGTATTTTGGAAGTCAAGATGACGTATTTTGAGGAAAATTCATTCTGAGAATTTGTAGGGGATGTCTTTAGCTTTCTAAAGAGACCTTTTGAGACCAAATCGGAGTTGATTTGATTAGTCAAAAGTGTGATTTTCTAAGAACTCCGAATTCTAGTTCAAATAGGAAACCTTTTATTTTCTGTTTTATCATTTAATTATGTTTCCTAGTTTTATTCTAAGACCTTTTCAAGGTAGGGTTTTATTTTCTAGTAGTATAAATAAGGCTTGTTAGCCCATTAGGGTTCTCTAGGCAACATTGGAGGAGAACACGCACACTACTCTAGAGGGTTTTTGAAGTTTATTTTCTAAGTGTTTTCTATCTTTTTTCTATCTCAATAAAATTCCTTTTGTTTTATGGTTGTTTGTAACTAATTTCCGTTTGCTAGGGCGATGCCTTAAGCCTTAGCATGAATATGTAGTTTTTATTTAATTGCTTATGATATTATGCATGCATGCTTTGAATTGTTAATCACTGTGCATTAAACTTTCTCTATATCTTAATTCTTAGCTACTATTAGAATGTTTAGATAAGTAATCAGATTCAGTTCGATCGGAATACCACCGGGGGATTGAGTATTGCCTCTTGTGATTGATAGTTGTAATTTCACCTAGGATGAATATCACGTCTTACGGGTTGCATGGTTTTTCAAAGGGTTTTCACAAAGCTTAATGAGTCATGCATGTTTATATTTGATATGAATACCACAGACGGATTGCATGTTTGATATACGTTCTAACTTGAATACCACGAGTAGAATATGCATTAGGAAAACCTAGCCTTCAAAGTTGCATGGGTAATTCATAAGTAATTGATAAATCTACATAGGATTGTTAAGGGACGGTGGAACCCTAGGGTTTTACAATTTGGTTTTCAAAACTATTTCCTTTTGTTTTCTTTACTTTGTCAAGTTATTTATTTGTTTTAATTTAAAATTCGTTTTTAATATTCTAGGTCATAAAATCAACTTTTTCCAAACTTTGTTTTCAATAATTAATTAAGAGTTGGTTTTAAACATAAATGATTCATTCAATCCCTGCGAAAGCAACCTTGCTTGAGCTGTTTATACTACAACTACCTTGTTCTTTTGCAAGTATTTTGTGTGTTTTTATTCCTATTTTTGAAGGTGGTAAAAATACCTATTAGTGTGGAAGAAATGAAAAACTTAAAGTCCTCGGATTATAGTGAAACTTATCCATTTTAATTCTCTCAAATGGTAGAATTAGAAGGAATGAGTTTCTTTCCCGTCTAATCTACTAATCAGTTATTTACCGGATTGAAGAAGAATACTTTAGTCACTAGTGCACACTTTCGTACTTGTTCTTGCACTTAATTTTTTTTTTCTTTAACAACCAATATTATCTAAGGGAGAGGTGGTTGATTTAGTCTCATAATGCACTAGTAATAATGTGGTTCAAATTCATCTTTGGCGAGAATCAAACCTAATACCTCTCACTTACAAGTAAAGAGGAATACTACTAAACCGTAATATGACATTTTCCTAGTCTCTTTAACCAAAGAACTATTCACTTTCATCTCCAATATACACTGAAATTAAAAAATTATTTTTTTCAATCCAATTCAAAATACTAAACAAGGATGTAGGCGGTATCATAATAAGAACTCTTATGTTCTAGCAAAAGTACATATAATTGTGCCACGTACCATATGAAAGATTATGGGGCCGTGTCTTATTGTTGTTTTTCTAGACGATTCTAGCAACACGTTTCCATGAGCGTAATCAGAATAAAAAACAGAATTAAATTTAATTACCGAATATTTCGATCTTTCTCAAATATTAGGGAATAAAAAAATTGGTAAAACTCACACAAATTTTGAAATTTAACTCCAAAATTTGGAGCAATTAAACTCCCAGTTTGGTAGTATTTGAATTTCAGATTGTTGAGGTAATCCAGAATGTACCCTAATTTATTTCTAAAATTTCAAGATTGCCTTTCATATTAACCCATCAAAACCCTTTGGATATCATAAGTTTTTCATGCCTGTCACACTTTTTCTTAGTGTGTTTGTGAAACAAAAAAGCAATTTGAGTTTCTTTATACTTTGATATTATATATAAAATTGTATTACAAAAAGTAGCATATAAATTATTTGATTCGATACAAGAGCATTTTAATAATCATATTGATTTATATTTCAAATAGTTTTGTGAAATCTTTACTATTTGTATTCCAATTTCAAAACATTTTTAATAATTACATTTTATGAAAATTTGAATTTGAATTCTCGTAAATTTAACTCTTTTTCAATCCAATTATTTCAATTTAGAAATCTTCGTTGCCTTTCATTCTCTGAAGCAGATATTCATTAATTAATATATATTTTAATTCCACTTATATTTTAAAAAAATTATCATCTCAAAAGCTGTTGGACGGCACAAAATACCTGAACAGAAAAAAAGCCGGAATTTACGTGAACCAAAAAAAAAATCATGTACAAGTGTGAAACATGACAATCCACAAATTCCACATCAAAACCCAGCAACCACAAATCGTCTACCCAAAATCCCAGCGCGCGCGCGCGCGCGCACACACACACACATCCTCTGGGTTCGGTTCTCCGATCATCCTCTATATATTGATGAAGCTTCAGTTTGCTTCCACACAGCAGCTTCTCACTTTCCTCTCTGAGTCTTGTTTTTTCCAAGCTTGATAAATCATCACCGATTCTGTAAATTGGGATTTAGGGTTCGTAGCTTCCTCCTCAAAGCTTCACCCTCCTACTCCTTCAGGTATCGTTAATCTACCTATTCTTCTTTCCTATTTTGTTTTTATTCATTTATTTTTTCTAATTGGGAATTCGGGGTTTAGTTAAGATTCATTTTTAGGTTTGATTTGTAGCTTAATCCTGATAAGCATGAATTTTAGATTTTTTTATCTGTTCAAATTTTGGGTTTCTTCCCGAAGTTTGAACTTGCTTGAATGTATTGTTATATCGAAATGACGGCAAAACAATAAAATTCTGCCCAAAGTTTATCAGGATTTTTAGTTTAGAAAGATGTTAGCTTCGAGATTGAGCCCGCTATTCATCCAAAACATGAACGCGGGAGTTAAGGGAGCACATAATCACGGAAACCCATCTTAGTCAAATTCAAGGTCAACTTGATTAGGGTTTCAACCCTTCTAAAATTTTTATGTCATTAAAACTCACATTTCCAATATGAATTTGTAACTCAGTTTGTCAGGCGACATAACCTATTACACAATTTTATAATAGCAATTGATATCGTATTTCAGATAATTAAAGCCATTTTCTTATCCGGAAGCAGATGTTATGGATTTCAGATTAGTCTCTGATTAGATTTATAATAATATTTGGGTTGTTGGGTTTAAGTGGGTTTGAATTGATTTTTGTTTTTCTTTTTTTTCAGAGTTATGGATTTTCAAATGGAAATGCAGAGGGTGTCCTTTTGTGCTGCTCAAGTAAGTCCATATAAGTTTCTTTTGTTTGAAGCTTTATTTTTGGATGACAACTTTGTGTAATTAATATTGTTGCTCTGTCATGTAATTGTAATGTTAATGAGTTTTAATTTAGTTAATAATCTTATGGGATGATTATGAGCGTAAAAAGGACGTGTTCTTTTTCAGAGTGGAATTAATTGTTGTTTTTGGGGGGAACTTTACATGAATATGGCTGATTCATATGCATATTTAAATGCTTACTTTGATGTTAAAGTCAACGTTAATCCTGGGTTGCGGCTGCTGCAGATTGGCAATCTTGGGCTTGTGCTCCTATGGCATATTCTACATCTTTTTGTTAGCATATGGTACTTTCTATTAGATTTAGCTTTTGTGTTCGAAAGCTATCTTATTTCTGGTGGAGTACTCAAGAACTACAAAACCCTTGATTTGGGAAAGCTAAAGTACCTGGCTATTGTGATAGAAAGTGAAGAAGCTTACCAAACTTCAAAAGTTATTGAGCTTCTGCAGTGGCTAGAAGCTATTGGCGTGAAGCGTGTGTGCCTTTATGATACGGAAGGTAATGGTGCTTTCTTATTCTGATTGATGACAGATGCCTTCTACTATTGGTAGGCAACAATGTGATATATGTATTCCAACCTTGGCTAATTCTTCTTCTTTTTTGATCCTAGGAGTTTTGAAGAAATCAAAAGGAGCCATCTTGAATAAACTGAAGAATGCAACAGAATTTGAGGTGCTGTATTCTGTCCCTAAATTACTTCTTGTTCTACATTTTGCCACTTAAATTGTTGAAGTAATTAGCATTCTAAGTGTACCAAGAACCAATCAATTATTTTAATTGTAATATCTCATTTTATTTTTGTACTATATTTTTTAGGTGATGCTTGTATGAACCTGCCACCTTAGTAATTCGTAATTGGTTTATGATGTAGTCCCAGGGGGTTAACTTTATGCAAAGCAGTCTTCTTTTGTGTTTCTTTAATATTATATGATGAGTACTTTGTGTCTTTCACAATGAACATATATTGCATTATGACAAGACCAAAGTTTATAACCAACTTAGCATCCATTATGTGCAGGATGGTGATGAAGGGTTACTTGACCAAAAGCGCATGGCTCTGGAATTTTCGTCGTTCTCTGATGGAAAAGAAGCTGTGACCAAAGCAGCTAACTTACTTTTTGCAAAGTATTTGAAATTGGCCAACTTAGTTGGAGATCACGAAGAGAAAATCTTTACAGAACCTAACATGGACGAGGCACTAAAAGCTATTGGTATGTTTTATTGTCAGTTTCATCAACAGTCAAATTCATGATTACTGAAAAATTTAATTTGACCTTCTGGGTGTTTATGGTATTCTGCTTTCAGGTTGCAGGGGGCCAGACCCTGACCTGCTATTAGTTTATGGACCTGCAAGATGCCACCTTGGTTTCCCTGCATGGAGAATCCGATATACTGAGATCATGTGAGTATTTCTAAGCAAATTGGCGAGATGCATTTAGTTATGTAATTTCCTGTATATGTGCACTTGATATTTACTGAAACTTAAACATGAAGCGATGGTAAGGGAAGGATGGAGTAACCCTTTAACCACACAATAGGCCAGAGCTGAAGAGAATACCTAGTTTTAAGCCTGCTTTTTTGTGTATAATAGATACATATCCATGTGTGTGTGTGTGCGCGCGCAAACGTATTATAGTAATAATAATTTTGTTATAGTCTGTCTATTGGGATTTCCAAGATTTTCGTCTGGTCGACTCTTAACAAAATGTTTGCCCTGTTTAATGAGCATACGAAACTTATGTCAAGGGTTCTTTTCTGCAGTATGTCCTAATTTAAATATCCCAAAAGATTTGTCTGCAAGAGCTACGTAGCTGTAAGTTAGCAGTGGATCTAATTTTATCTCCTGTTTGGTAGGAAATGATTTTTTAAAGAACGAAAAGGGACCTTAAGGAAATTTCTTATCAGATTCATTGTTAGTGCTTGTCTCTTGCCAGTTTTTTCCTATACCCTGATTAGGAGACCTTTCCATGAGTTTTGTGGGGAGGTGGGTGTCCCATTTGTTTGGTTCCAGGATTTTAACGAGACTAAAGGGCTAGACCCTCCGTTTGCATAATTGGATGCGGAAAGTATTTTTTTTAATTATTTTCTTGGTCTGAAATAACTATTCTAAATAGGGCTGGCAATCACGCTGTCAGTTGTTTCTCAATAGCAATCCTTAACTTAATTTTTCTTATTTTGGGCTGGGTAATCTTTGTCTCTAGGTCATCCATATACAGGCACAGCTGCATGTTAGACTTGCATTTGATTTTATCGTAGACTCAGAAACTTATCTCCTTTGTCTTGTGTGATTCCTTTTTTTTCCCTACATGTATTGACTATTTGCACACATTTTGTTTCTTGAACTGATTGTCCCATATTCGCTTTACAGACACATGGGAGAATTGAAGTGGATGAAATATGGCTCCCTTATTAAAGCCATCTATAGGTTCACTACCGTGCGCCAAAACTATGGTAAGTGGCGTTTGTCTGGATTGTCTAATTAATTATCATCTCTTCTAATAGTTTGAAAATAAACTAATGATTTCATGAGATACTGGACAAGTTTGCAATGGTGCGCTATAACTTCTTGCTGGTTAAAGAAATTGATTTGATTTAGTCGTATGGTTAAATGATAAACACCGAGATCTGACATTGAAATCTTTTAGTATTTGGTTGACATATTGTGTATTGTTGTTGTTCCAACAGGTAAATGACACTGCATTTGGAAGCTCATAGCTCGGATAACCGATCCAAACACGTATGCGTCATACAAGAATTCCACAAGTCCCAGCCTGTTTGCGGTCATAGTTATTTACGTTGAATGTATGTTTTAACGATTGATATGTAAACAGTACTCTCGTTTATGTATAAGATATGCAGTGCGTTATGATCAGTAAATTATTTAGTGATGCCAAGTTCCTACATCCGTCGTCGATATCGAGTTCATTAGTCGCAGTGAGTAACCTGAGTTCATTAACGGATCATCGTAGATTAACGACCATAAACATCGCCTCACAGCATTCACTCTCCAGTTATTTGAGCTTTATTGCTTGCTTTTCAAGCGAGTATTTGCATCTTTTGCGGTATTTCTTATCGGCTGCAAGCATAACCGATGTAAGAAATATAACTAGAGCAAGTACAACTGTACAAGTAATGCCGCTCGTGAATTTTACACCTGAACTCGAGCCCGTACTCAATATGATACGCTACTTGTGCACCCTCTCTCTAAAGAATATGGTACCAAATAACAACCTCCATTAATCAAACAATTTTTTCAATTGTTAGTGCTTAAAACTTGGAAGTTCATGCGTCAAGGTAATTTTTTTTGGCTAAAGTTTAGGGTAGATGCTGGACGAAAGGGAAAGATGAAGGATAAAGGGGATCTATGAAAAAAGAAATCAGCCTCGCACTCTTTTGCATGTCCGTCCGCACTTTAACTGAAAAAAGGTGCAAGTAATAATCGTCAATGGGGAAAACGAATTAGAAGAAGGAACTATAGTAGGGCTAAAGTGATGATTCTTTTATACAAACTACATTGAGGGGGAATTGGAATAGTAGACAATAAATAATTATTTAGATCATGTTCTTAACTACTCGAGTTATAAACTACAGGAAGGAGAATCAAAAACTAAATCTCGATGCAAGGGTACTACAAGCCTCGTGTTTACAAGAAGAACAATCCTTGTATAAACATGCATGTCTAGTTCATTTCATCTTAAATTTATTTCTTTGTTCCATATAAGATCTTTTTATTTAACAAATTAAGAAGATAAGGTGAAGAGTGAGTTTGAGCTACATATCACCGAAACACCAATAAAATTTTGAAAGTAAAAACTTTTATAATGATAAACAGCCATCATTAAGTACATTCAGTAATTAAGCACTGCACTTTTTTGTGTGTATTTTGTTGAAACAATAGAGCTTTTATTAAGTACGGATTGAAACGTTGACATCCGAAACGAAGTACATTGAAAAGCTAAATAGGAGCAATCAAGTCCCAACGACGAACGCCTCCTTTATTGAACACAAAGGGAGGCGACGGAATGAGCAGCCCCGTTGCAAGAACGTTGGGGCATAAGAGAAAACTTAGAACAAAAACTTAGGGCATTCACTTACCAAAATTTTCACACGACACTTGTACTACCTCTCTAATAGAGGAAGGGCCATCAACATGTGTGTCCCATCTCTATTAGAGAGTCGTACAAACGTAAATATGAAAAATATGGTAAGCGTTTTTTGCCCTATTATTCTTAAGCGCTTTGGCTTTTCTCAGCAGCTTCCTTCTTCTTGAGCATGGCATTCGCTTGTCTCCACTTATGGTATTTGCCAAACAAGAGTTCCATATCTTCGAGGCTTCGGCCTTGTGTTTCTGGCAGCATTGTGTAAAAGAACATAAAAGCAATCGAAGACGTTCCGGCATAAAGGAAGAAGGCACCACCGATCGTGATGGCCTTGTACAATGAAAGAAACGTCATGGAGATGACTCCGCTCATCAACCTATTCATGGCCACTCCCATAGCGCACCCTTGCGCGCGCAGCTGCAACGGGTAGATCTCTGAGCTGTAGACCCAGGTGATGGGTCCAAGCCCGATGGAGAAAAACGCAACGTTGGACATTACCATTGCAATGCACAGAGCGATGGCCCATTGGACCTTGCTGTGGGAATGATCGACGACTGTAAGACCCACACCGAGCAACAAGAGAGAGAAGATCATTCCACCCACACTGGTCAAAAGCAAAGGACGACGTCCGAACTTGTCAAGCATAAAGGTGGCGACAAGGATGAAAATGGTCTTGACAATTCCAACGGCTACGGTTGCAAGTAGTTTGTCATTGTAGGAAGTGATTCCAGCCTTCTCGAAGATCCTGGGGCTGTACAACACGACGGAGTCAATACCGGAGGCTTGCTGGAAGAAGTGGATACCAACTCCCACGATCAAAATATGGCGGACAGCTGGGGTGGGCCGAAGGAACAAGTCTTTCCATACGCCTTCACCTTTGCTTTTCTTCGAAACCTGAACGATATCCTCGTTGGACTCTTTTGGGATTCCAGCGGCCTCTTTGATCTCGTCTAGTCTGAGCTCAGCCTCCTCATGGGTAGAAGAAGTTTTGTTCAGGACTTTCCTGGCGTCTCCGAGTCGCCCCTGCATGACGAGCCAGCGTGGTGACTCAGGCATGGCTAGGACGCCGACGGCGAGGAAAAGAGAGGGAACTGCGCCAATGCCGAGCATGATCCTCCAGTTCAAGTGGATCGGGAGCTTGGCCAAGGCATAGTTGGATACGTACCCAAGTAATATACCAACATTAACAAACACCTGCATATTTTGAAACAAATCAAATTTATTGATTATTCATATTTCCTAAAAGTGGATTAATGTATACAATGAGATAACCAAGCAAAAAAACAAACCTCAGGGAAAGATGTGAGGAAGCCACGGAATGAGGCTGGAGAGATTTCGGCTGTATAGACAGGAGCTATCATAAGAGCGTAACCAACTCCAACTCCAGCAATAAATCGGCCGAACATGAGGAAGGCGTAGTTGGGGGCAAATCCCATAAGGAGGGCTCCAGCAAAGAAGATGGCTCCAGAGAGGACAATGGTGTATCGTCGGCCAATCCAATCGGATGTTCTTCCTGCCAAGGCGGAACCGATGAGAGAGTACAGGTTCAGAGTACCGTTGAGGACTTCAACTTGTACGTCGGTGATTTTCAGGTTTTCTTTGATGAAGAGTGACGCTCCACTCATCACACCAATATCTGTATGTAAAAATGAAATCAAGAAAACGTAATAACACACATAAAAAGGAAAAAAAATACCAAAAGAAAAATCCACATGCATGAAGTAAATGGACAATTAAATTTACCATAGCCCAGCAAGATTGAAGTCATTGAAGCCAAAATGGCACAGGCAACAGCGAACTTCTTTGTCTTCGCGGCCTTGGGGGGATCAAAGTCTGCAATAGTCTTCTGGCCTGAGGCTTCAGTATTTTGAGGTTTTTGGTCAGCCATCTCCATTGTTAGAGCTAGCTAGAGATCGATAGACAAATAGACAGACAGAAAACAGAGAGATCACTTGTCAATGAAAGAATTTGCTATTACTCGAGAATTTTATTCATTCACCAAGGTGCTGTTTTTTGTTTTGGGAATAGGATTTGGATCTTTTGTTTTCAGAACACAAGTTCTCAAGTGCTTAACAATTCGCCAGTACTCTGCTAACTTGCGTTTATTTGGATTTGTGATGATTTGTATCTTACGAAGGAAGGTGGGTAAGAACAAAGCTTGCTGATGATATGTCTGCATGCAGGCTCCCCTTATAAACATTCCGAAACGAGTAAGTTACGGACTAAAGCAAAACAAATTCCAACTTTGTGTCGCGAGATCCGTTTTTACAGTTCCGCTGTTGTATGAAGACCAATTGATTTTTTCTTTAACTTACCAAGAAATAGTTTTAATTTTAATGTTTTCTTATATTTTTAATCCAACACCGATTCAAAGGTTACTATTTTGGCAATTAATCATTGATTTACTCATGTAGTGCCAGCGAGGGTTAATTTTGTGCAGAGTATTCTTAATTTTGTGTTTCTTTAATCACATAGATAGATAGCTTTGTGTTTGGGTTAATATTTGAACATTGGGTTTAAGTGAAAGAAAGCCTAAAGATGCCAATTAAAAGGGAATTTGCCCGAAGCCTAGCATCGAGCCCAGAAGTAAATTGAGGCTTTCTCAGCCAAGAGACACAAGTCATGTGTCTACAAGTAAAGCAACAAGTGATAGAGACTAACCTACTATCAGCCAAAGAATACTTTTTAGTGGCATTGCAAGTAAGAAAGGTGATGACTCACTACCCTCCAAATGCTTTCAGACAAGCAAAAGTTACAATAGTCGGGCTAGTTTGCCTATAAAAGGAAGAAGAAGCCCCAGAGACAAGGACACTCAATCAATCAAACAAACAAACATACATAATCTGGAACCACAATAACAACTTAAAGGGCTCTGGACTCTCTTCATTTGTATGTACAAGACCATGAACTAAAAGTCCTTGTTTACAAGGCAAGAAAAAGAATTTAACATGGACTTAACCCATCCACGACAATCCTTTGATAACAAGAAGTTTGACTAACTTGGGGCACAAGTAATCAATTTAAAACACACTTGTTCTACATTTGCTATACTGAGATAGCAGTGGCATGCCTAGCACTTAGTTAGTTTTGATTGTGAGCCTCAAGGCCTACACCTAAGGCCCCACAAAGGCACTTTTCAGAACTAACTTTGTCCTCTTCTTGTAGCACATCAACAAGTAAAAGCCCGACTACACATCCAAAGTGCCGAGGTATGAGGCTCCTTTTCCAGAGAAATCTTTGATAGAACATAGTTTTGGCACACTTAGTGGGACCCAACATACTAGTCTTGTATGCCAAGAAGAAAGAAGAAGGAGAAAACCTTCAGGTGGAACACAGAATACGGACTACCCTAGTGTCTACCAAGATCAAGCTTGACAGCTCATCCAGAAGATTTCCCTTCCCTACGAGGACCATCTATGCCAAAAAGCTCGACTCTATCTGAGAAGTCAGGAGAAAAGGTGACCAATGAAGTCTTGCAAGCCACCATGATACAAGTAATGAAAACTATGGCAAATATCACTCTGGAAACCAGAGGAGAAGTGCGTAGACTCTATTCCCTAATAGGGAGTCTACAAAGAAGATTAGATCTGGAATACTTTACTCTAAAAAATTGTTATGCCAGGAAAATGATGAGAAAGGCAAGCTCTGAGAAAGAACCAGTTATCCCCCTATTTCCTTTGCTTGAGGAAAAAAAGAATAAAGGAAAAAACAAGGAAGGATTTAGAATTAGTCAGCCAGTGTTAGAGGAGATCCTGGAAGCGGAGTTGCCCGACCCCTTATTATTCTCACTAGATATTAGGGGGTATAGTGAGAGAGAAAGAAAGAAGTATGGGATGCCCTAAGTAATCAGAGAATCCAGTGGGAAAGTTGAGTTTACAACCATGGACAAACCTCCTCCTTATAGACCACCACCATTGGTTAATAAAGGAGTAGGGGCCAAGTGGAGAAAGCCCGACCCAAACAAAGAAACTTTCTCGGGCAATGATAGTAGCCCGAAGTGGGAATTCCCTCATACCCCGCCTAATAATACAGCCAATCAGCAACTTAGAGATGAGTTAGCTGAGTTAAGGATGATGGTGGTCCAGAATGCTCAACCTCATGTTCGTCCGTTGTTCAGGATCACCTATCAGAAGCCATATCTTGAGTATATTGATGAGCATAATCCTTTTCCCCTCAACTTCAAGATGCCCGTGTTTCCAAATTTCAGTGGAGAAGATGGTAGTGTATCATCTAGAGATCATATTTTCAAGTTCGCCAATCATTGCATGGCATTTGAAGACAATCCTAATTATAAGTTAAGACTGTTTGGGAATTCGTTGGTTGGCTTAGCATCTTAGTGGTATTCTCTGATGCCCCCCAATTCTATTGCTAACTGGGGGCAAATAAAGATGGCTTTTCATGAACAATTCTACAAAATGGAGCCCAAGATGACTATTAACGATCTAGTCGAGGTGAAGTAATACGAACATGAGTCTACTGAGAACTTCATGATGAGGTTCAGGAAGGCAAGGATGAGATGCCAATTCCCTATCAATCATGCCTAGCTTATTTCCATCGCTCAGAAGGCATTGAGATTACCTTTAAGAAAAATGTTTTATGATGTACAGTTCAATGATATGCAAGAGTTGGTGATTGCTGCTACTAAGTATGAGAAATTATTGATCGAGGAGCAGCAAGTGAAGCACTCCTCTAAAGCACCACCATTCTACAAAAACAAAGTTGCCATTCATCAACTAGAGTTTGAAGGAGGGGAGCCAGAAGGAAGTGATGATCATGAAGGAGAAAGAATTGACATGTGTGATGTGTTATAAACTAGCACTTAAATTAAACCCTCTTATTGACAATTGTAGTAAAGATGAAAGTAGGGATCGTTCTAGGCCAGGGATTAGAAGGGATGCTAATCTACACAATTTAAACTCTAAAACACTAAACTAGACTCAAAAACAGAAAACTAGACTCTAATAACTCAAAACAAACTAGAATGACTGAAAATAGCACAAAACAAGGAAATTGACTCAAAACAGACACTAAGGTTGGATTTCGACGAATTCTAACTTAACTTCGACTCAAAACACTAAAGGAAACAAATCTAAACAGGTTCTAACTAAGTAAACAAGAAATATTAAAGGGGGGAGTTGGTTTTGACGAATTTAAAGTAAAAGCAAACAAATTGCAGAAACAAAGTAAACTGACACAAATTTGGGTGAATTGATGGGTGATAAGCTAGTTAGAGGGTTCTTCTCCACACATGACACATATGCATACAAATTGATTTCCAATTATTATTCCAATAAACCATGAACCTCAACGCCCCAGATTAACTATGAACAACACTAATTAACCTTCAGATTTTCCTTAAGTCATTGAATTGGTGGAATACGCATCGGCAATCCCTACATGAACAGCATAATAGAGATACAATCAAAGATCATTAAGCTTTGTGAAAATCATAAGCTTTGACAAGACATTCGTAACTATGAAAAACATGATACTCTTGCCAGGAATTTACTTAACACGATTGTGACTAGCAACCTCCACTACTTGCAAATTTAAGTTCATAACGATTAGGTGAAAATCCCTTATATTTTAGCATCAAATTCATGCATGCAAACTTAGTAGGCCTCCTTAATTAACATACAAGAATAAGTTATCAATCAAGCAGTTAAGCAAATTGCATTCACGATTTATGAAACAATAATTGGATGAAATCAATTCATATCACATATATGTTCATGGCTTTGAATTCTCCTCTAGCCAAAATGAAATTAGTTCCTCATGTTCGCACTTAAACAAAGAAAATTTAAATTAAACATTGAAAACAAAAGATAGAATACACCTAAGAACGTTCCAACAATCCAAAACTTGAATGGCAAGCACGGCTCCAAAGGTCTTCTCTCATTTCTCCTTGAAAAGTTACGGCACAAGGTGTGTGTGTGTATGAAATTGGGTGATGGTGTGAGATGGATAGGTGGTGCGGCTTGTGTGTGTGAGGGATGGATGGCTGAATGAATGAATGAATGGTGAATGGTTCCTTGTATGGTGTGGCACAATGTTATATTTAAAAGGGAAAGATAGCTAAAACCCTAATTAATTTTAGAGACAGATTTGTACACCAAATCCTCAAAGAAAAAGGGTAATTAAATGTCAGAATCCAAGAGGAAAAGGGAAAGGGGTATGCGGCAAGGAAAATGAAGGAAAATGATATGCCTTGGACGGCAAGGGAAGGGAAGGAAAGGGATAGGTGTAGCAACCCCTCTTGGAATAGGATTAGGCCTTCTAGAACATATATTTAAGTGTCCTAAATTAATTAGGAACCGTCTTGGCAGCTGGAACATAAGTAGGAAAAGATTAAGATTAACTAAGTCAAAATAAGGTAGTTTGACTCATGTTTCCTTCTTTGTAGCTGATTCCTTGTCTTCCAAGTCTTGAATTAATTTCTTCTAACTCTTTAGCATATTCCTAGCCCTTCTTGAATTTCAATTTCGTACATCCACCTTGCTCCATGCATGCGCTATCCATTCCAAGCCCAAAACTGCTCCAAAATGCTCCAAATTGCACTTTCTTGCCACTTTAGCCAATTGGACCTACAAACACACGAAAATAACTTAAATCACTATAATAAATAGAAACTAACTCACTAAATGCAAGGAATTAAACTAACAAAATCGCATAAATATGCTCCTATCAAATTCCCCCACACTTAGCTTTTGCTAGTCCTTAAGCAAAATAAAACAAAAAAAACACACTCTAGACCTTCCAACAATTGCCTCAGGGATTTCCAATGCAACATGACATGCCAAAGATCACCACTCTATAGATTTTAGTCATCCTTACCCTCGAACACGTACTTAATCATAGTCACCATTCACTAGCTCACATTTAATCAATTAAAACAATGTTTTGAATGTAGTAACATGCCTTAGAGAATTCACTCAATTCCTCACCGGTTATACTCTCTATTTTCACACATATTTTCTGACTACACTCCCTACACTAAGTATATGTGAGAAGATTGATGTAAACATGTAGACTAGCACTCACATATGTTATAACAAAGAAAGCAATTTCTGGAATTATTAATATGTGTATGTATATGATCTCATGAATGGAACGCTACTACTTAGAAGTGAGAACCAGGGATTCC